TTATGCAAAACCAGTGTTTGGCTAGGAGAGGAAGGAATTTCTTGCTGTGCTTTTTGCTATTTTGTGAAACTTAAAGCAAAGGAGTCTTGAAGCATCAGCCAAGATCTGCATTTTTACTTTCTACTACTAGGCATTTCGTCATTGGCATATATTTCTGCAGAACCCAGAGAGGAATTTAGAAACACCTGCAGTTCTGTGCAAGAGGATGCACAGTGCAGATCTAAACAAAGAAGGGAGCAAACAAACGCCTCTGTGTGGAAACAAGGTACTATCTAAATACTAACTCTAAGTAGCTTATTTATTCTGTTTTGTGTCCTTGAAATATGAAAGCAGCTCCTGATTCCGAATTACAGGCAAGCACTCAAGGTTGTTCAGTCCATGGATTACATTTAAATCTTTTGCATGGAAAGAGGGGATTTTTTTTTTTTTTTTTTTTTTTTTCTTAGTGAAAAGCAGAAAACAGGAGAATATTGCTTTCTTGTTCTCCGTAATTTAGAGTCTTCATTTAACATTCAGTCTAAGTATTTAAGGTCACAGCTGAATGCAAGGCTGATGCCTATACACCTAAAATACTACACAACATCAAGGATGTAGGGGAGAAGAGCTTCAGCTGCATGGACAACCAACACTGCAATTAGAGCATGAAGGATCAAGAAAATGGGTTCCTATAAAGCCAAGAAATGATTTTAAAGCAAACAAATAACAACAAAAATGTTTCAAAGCAGGTAACTTTCTTGAAAATGCTGTAACCCACTGCATTCCTCCATACTGACCCCACTGCTAAGCTATACATACAGACACAGACAAGAATTCACCTCTCCCCACTTCAGCTGGGTACATACATCTGAGCTACTCAAAATCCATTATTTAGAAGGACTAGAAAGGACAAGCTAGTACAAGGTTTAAGCTGAGTTCAGATGTCTACACTGACTCCAGTGAGTGGTGACTCACTACTGGCAAGTACTTTTGGTCTGTTTACAGTGTCTATATGAGCAGGCGAGATGTGTAACGTATAATACGTTAGAATAGAGAGGTGTACCCATTTCCAGCTAGTCAGTGCAGTAATGCAGTAGTTTCAGCAGTTTCAGAAGCTAGTGGGCATAGGACCAGGAGCCAGTTTCCACTCCCATCAGTAAGTATCGCTTCCAGCAGTAGAAACCTGGAGCTTCAACTGGAATGAAATAACACCCTTCCTCTCATGAGCTAATACTTGTGACACTACTATCATTCCCTACTTAAAATCTCTTCACTAGTTTTGTGAAAAGAGCAAATATTTTTGCATGTCTTTTTTAAACATGGTTTACTTCATCTACTGCTTTGCCAAGCCTATGAGAGAAACGCCAGCAGATTTCTGATAGCGACTAGCCATGTTCTTCAGTTTGGGGATAAGCATAAGAAAAAGCTCATCTGTCACCATCTTCCTCCCTCCTTCCTGACATAACTGTGTCATCTGAAAAAAAGAAAATTAGGCAAATATGATGCAGCTCCACAGCTGGGAATGTTCAGTCCTGAGAAGCTGATTGGCAGGTGCAGAGCTCTGTAAAATGAGGAACCAGGTTCCTGCAGCAGCAACTACAACGAGTTATTCTGATCCTGAATTCTGTTTGGGTTTATCCTTAACCTAGAGCAAAAGAAATGCATAAATAAATAAAAATATCAACTTTGCCCCCAAAACTCTAAAATCATCCTTTCTCCATAATTTATGGAAAGTCTGAACTAATTTTCATAAATAATTTTTATTTTATAAAACTAAAAAGTCAACATGTTTCAGTATTTCTGCCTTCTGCATTCCATTTTATGTTCCACTGAAAGACATAAAAGATGTGCCAAAATAACACAAAATGAGTGTTCTTCCTCCCATGCACCCAGGAAGACAGGAAATACTGTGGCCTCATGAGAATATATATTAAAATAAAACAAAACAAAAATAAAACAAAATAAAATAAAATCTCTCTGGCTTTCCCTGCAATGAGCTCCATGGAAACACCAATGGAACTCACTGTTGAACCATAGCCTAAAACTGAGCTTTAACTCCTTTTTTGAATTGTTTTTTATTTTATCCCTGGTACAGCTCTGTCGGCCTGTCAGAAGCTAGACTGCATTCTCCAACTTGTTTTAAAATAAGATACCAAGCAACTGTGAAATGGTAATGACATTCAACATTTGACCCAATAACCTACAGGAAGAATGCAGGTAAAACTTTGTTGATTAGTGCTGAATTATGTAAAGTCAGGATCAGATTAATACTGGTTATTTTTTTGTGTGCTTGCCATGATGAATAAAAACTCAGAAAGCTTTATTTTGAAATATAAATGTGGCTGGACTGAAGAATTCCTGCAGCTCTTTCAAAAATTACACAGTTAGAAAAGAAGTGTCAATCTACTGTATAAGGAATAATGAGTGTTAAATCTCATTCAAGGTGGTTAGTGTTACTGCATTGTACATTATTTTCTTAGAACTGAGCACATTATCCTGATTCACATATTAGATGGTACCCTTATGCCCTGTTCTTTGAGTGATTTGATCTTTTGTATATAAAAACACAAGAGAATCCTGAAAAAATCTTTTCAATTTGATCTGAAAAACTGAAGCCTAGTTATTTTGTAATCCTGACTTCATTATCTCACAAAGTACAGCTTCATGCATTCCATTTTAACCAATAACTATGTCCCTGAAAATTTTAAATATGCCATTCAATATGCAGATCTTTTCACTCATCTGCAACAAGATGTTCTGCCAACAAATTCACATTTGTATGACACTGCAATATTTCCACTGGCTTAGCTGATGAAAGGTTTGAGGAACTAAAAATATTGCCAATTTTCAAAAATTTTAAAGAAGTTTTTCCCCATAACTCCTTCTGGAGGGGGAAGGGGGGGGGGAAACTTATAAATGAACTTAAAGATCTGAAGCAAATCATCATGAGTTCTTAGTTTATCTAGCTTCTTATGTTTACTTTAGGTTGTGCAGAAATTAGTATTTCTTATGTACTGCTGTTTAAAATATTTTGAGGAAGTCATCATTATAAATGAAGGGTACATCCTGTAAAAGTTGGGCATAACACCAGAAGAATGGGTCACACTGACATGAGTAAACATAATCCAGAACACTATTTGGCCCTAGAAGAGTATGCGAGTCAAACACTGAAAGCAGGCAAGATGGAAAGGAACAAGGCAAAGGACAGCAAGGACAAAACCTGAACCAATACCTGTTATATAAAGCCTAACAGAAGCTAGCAAGCCCTACTTAGAGAAAACCCACCCTGGTTAGGCAAACTGGGACCACCAAAACAAATCTCAGCCTCGAAAGGGGGCATGCCAAAGAGTCATTTAATATAGGATATGCTAAATTCTGTTCTGCCTGTATCCACTTTCTGTAACTGCTGAAAGTTTTTGCAGACCCATCTGAAATCCAAGTGCTCTCCTCTCACCTGTGGCAAAGGATGACAAATTCTGGAATCAGGCAATTACTTTTTCCCCTCCTCTTATCTTTTAATACTTTAAATCCAAACACACACAAAATAAAACACAAAAGTATCATCTTGGGAAAATGATCTTGAATTTAAGAGGAAGATAAGAACCTCAGAGAGGACCAGTTCCTTTCACATTACTCACAGGTCTAGAGTCTCCAGGTAGGAGAGGAATTGGAGTATATTACTCCATCTGGATTCCAGTTGTTGTCAAGCTACACTCCTACATACTTCAATGAACTGATTAAGTACTGGTTAAGGACCTCGCAACTTAACCTTTAATTAGCTCATCATTCTCTTGCCATCAACAACATGCAATTCTATTCCTGATCTGCGTAAAACTAACTTGATCTTGCAGAGGATTTTTTTCATCAATAGTTGTAATTGCATGCTGTTTGTAAAATAAGTAATCTAAGTCTTACTATGTGGGAGACCTAGGATATTTCTTCTGGAGGCTTACCCTGAAATAACTCATAGAGCTTCTGGAAAATGATACACAGATGAGAATTCAGCCTATCCTGACTCATAGCAGTTTTTTTTTTTAATATAGGGAACTGAACAATTATAGACATTAATAAAAGGTCCATTATTAAAAGGCCAAGCTGCAGGAAATTCTGCGGAGACAAATTCTTGTGCCCACACATTGCTCCACATAATATAAAAGAATATAAGCACAATTTGGTCCTACGTAAGGCAATCTCTTTGAGTCTGAGGTCATGTTTTAACTTAAGAATTTTAATAGTCCACTAAGATCCCTAGCCAAAGGAGAAAATTTTTATGTTACTTCTTTTCTACTTCCTCTCCAGAGGACACCTTTATCTCATTGCAGTTCTGCAGACAGTATCAGAATCATCCCAGGCACAAATCTGCTGCTACTGCATTGATCTACACTGGCTAACTATAAGCAGTAGGAATAAATGTGTTTGGGTTTAATCTCATTTAATGCATCAGTGGCAGAGCTGAGGGGCTCTGGGAGAAGTCTAATTTGTGGCAGTACAAAGGTCCTGGTAGGAAGGAGCTCAGGGGCTCATGTTCTTCTCACAGTAGGACAATATGATGCCCATGTTAATTTAAGTGGCCTTACCTTCTGGGTTTACAGATCCTCACGCTCTTGATTAATTTGTTCACACAGCTCTTATTAATTGAAAACAAGCCTGTGAGGGACCATTTCAAATGTCTTTACATTTTCATACCATTAACTCAGAGCAAGAATAATTCCAATCTAACTAAGTGCAGTATTTAAAATCTCTAACAGTAGTGGGTGAGAAAGAGCTATGCTTAATGAGGCACAGCCCACTAGAACATATGTTTGTCAGTAATACAAAACAAGTGCCAGAATTTATTAAGTTATCATACATTTGCTTTTTTGAGTATTTGAGTTTGATACTAATGACTCAGTGTGAAACCAGATCACATTCAAGGAGGGGAAAAAAAAAAAATCAAGAAAAACTACATTATTCATACCTGACTGGTTTTATTTCTACCATCTACCCCATGCCTTCTTTAGCATCAGCCAAATTGCTTCTTGAGACAAATATTTTAATCTAGCAATGACTGCCATTGAGTATTTGTATCTGCATTATCTCTGTATTTGTACCTGCAAAGGGGTGGTGGGCACAGCAAATCACAAAGGAAATAAGAACCTGTGACCAAAAAGATCTATTTAATTTGCTATTGAATCTGAAGATTATAATGTATTCTCATGAAGTTTATGGAAGAGCTCAACCAGTATTTTTTTTTCCAAATAATATGCAAGTCCATTCAGCAGACAGACTGGGAACTCTGTTGGTGATACAGCAGGTGTTTCACTGACTTCTTCAGAGACCTCCTCTTCTGTAGCATGAATTCCACAGCCTCATGGAGTGATTTGCTGGAAATATATGATTAAAAATATATACTCATCAGCACCATTTTTTGCAAGGATATAGCATCTAACAGTCAAGTGAAGACAGGCAACACAAACAACCACAGAAAAGGAACACTTTACATTTCACTACAGCTCCTTGTTTTGCAGCCGGCTCTTTCCAAAGTCCCATAGCCCTAATTTGGCAGCAGTGAGCACCACCAGAACCATCCTTTTTTTTCTATTTTATTAATTTTGTGTAGAGAGGCTGAGTAACTCCTGTAAGAATAGTCTCAAGTATCTTCTCCTTAGGAAAATAATTTAAAAAAAAAATAAATAAAAGCACAAAAAGCACAACACTAACTTCCAAGACACGGAAACATTTCTCAAGTTAACAAGTTAACTTTCAAAAATATCTTTTGTGATCTCAGGTATATTTTACAGGCAGGTAGTCCCAGTTCCCTATTAACTAATTTTAAGCACTTAACTAGAGTTACCCTGAGTATCCTAGGAGATAATGAGGCACCTATAGACGACAATTGAGCTCTTAGTGGTGCAAACAGTTTATTTCTCTCTACTGACTGCAGAGGAGACTTAGGACAATTATGTTTCCAACTAAAGTGCATCAATTATGTACCTAAAATTAGAGAGGATGAAAGCAGGTCTACAGAGCTGAGCATTTACAGTGAATCAGCAGGTCTAAGGTGCTTATATAGCCATTCTTGAAAAAGTCTTTTATGCCCCCTATTAAGTTTGTAGGGGTATGATTCCCATTGAATTCATCTGGAGTTACTGAATAACTACTTTTTAAAGACTTTCTTTTTAAAGACTCTCTACAAAAGTACATTTAGAAATACTACTTTGGTTTTCATGTTTTCTGAGTGGCTGTGCACCGCTACAGAGCGGCTGACTATCTATAGGAAAAGAGCTAGCCAATTACGAGAATAGACAGAGTCAGGGAAGACAAAGTTGAGTTATCTCACTGGAATTTCCTGCATCTTCTGAGACCCCTGGAGAATACTGCTGGTTTTATCAGACTGACATGGTTTAAGGTCATGGATACTACAGTTGACAGCATTCTCTTCAGCAAGCAAATAAGAGGGGCACAAGACAGTAGCAATATGCAGAATGTTTCTCCATAATACACAGCACTTAAGTCCTTCCTAAGGACATGTTTGATAGTTGTTTTTGTAGTTATTTGCAAGGCAAAGATATCCTTCTGGTGGCACACCAAATCATGCACAATACCAGCAAATCCTCTGGAAAAAAATAGCAAACAAACAGAGGCTCAAAGGAGAAATCCAGAATAAAAACAAAGGAAATTGGTTGGTTGTGTTTAGCAAACAGAAATCCAAAGGCAGTAGAGGATTTAGCAGATCTGTTCAGACCACAGAACCAAGTCTAAATGTCTATCACAGATCATCTCCCATAATTAAACCAGAGAAAAGGAGAGAATGAGAAGAAACAAAAAAACATAAAATGAAACTAGTGAAGTCTTCGCTGCTGAATCTTATGGGAAGAAGATTTCTCTCTCCTGGGACAGACAGCTTAGACTTGAGGAGTAGCAGTTGATTTTTATATAGTCTCACAATGAGAGACATAATACAAGAATCTGAAAAATATAGCTCGAGAAAATTAGTATGTAACATCCATCTCACTGCTTCCATCATAAAAGAGGAAAATATATACAATACTGACCCAAGCTTATTTCTCATTATTAACTTGCATAAAATATTATCTCATTGATAATGATATCCAATATGAGTTTCCATTATATCCCCACATAACTCCTTAGCTGAAAATACTCATCCTCCAAATGCTGTGCTCTTTACCTCTGAGATAGCTGACAGAAGGTAAGGTTCATTAGCACAATCCTCTTGTACATCATATTATTCAGTGCAAATCCCCATACTGTATGGGGGATTTCACTGCTACATTTTCATACAGTTAGTGATATTTCACAGTTACAGCTGCTCCTCATTTTGATAATAAGAGGACATTGTCCTGCTTGGAGAAGGGTCCTTCTACCTCTAAATCGGTGGAAGATTCAACAAACCTGGTAGTGACAGGAAGAATAATTGCACAGTTTGAATCCACTGAAAGACATCTATTTCCTTCACTGTTCTCTTTATTTCACTTTATTGTATGTTATTATATATAATTATAACTTAATAAAGTTATTTTCTATAATAGTTAGATAGGATTATTTTACCATTGATAGTCTTGTCAATGACTGTTTTCGGTATTTCCTATCTCAGCTTGGGCCTGTGAATGCAAAACCATGTTTTACCCCTTTCCTCAGACTTCTCATCTAAGTTAAGGACAAGGGATTTGACTTTTTTTTGGGGGAGGGAGGGAGAGGCGGGGGATAGGGAGCACACAATTTTTTGTTACCCATTAGATAGGTCAAACACCATGTAGAATGATAGAAAAAGAAAGAATGAAAGAATGTTTAGTAGCATCACAACACATATCACCTATTCAGTCAGGCCTATAAGCCATTTCTAAAGAAAAAAAAAAAAAAGCAAAACCAAACTGTGCTCATCAAATGAGGTGTTGATCTGTTGAAGGAATCACACACACTTGTTCCTTGTATGCAGTACAAACCTGGAGCTCTACTGGGTCACATATGCAAGGGTATTCTGCTAAATTACAGCGGGGAACCACTGCCAACATTTGTTAGTAAAAGTGACAGAGAAGCAGAAAACTTTCTATCAAGAAAAAGACAACTTTGTTCAAAATAATGTCAGAGAACTGAAAACGCTCCATTCCCTCTTATCCAGGGCACAGCAAGATGTATTCCATTAAGTAGATTCCTAAATAAGATGAAAGATGGAACGGAGATCTAAAGTGATGCTTGTAGTCCAGATTTTATTTCTATATTCTTCATTCCAGCTAAACTCAATTTCTGTGTTCAGCCATGAAATAGTACAATGTTGAGCTTCCTTTTGTTACAGCTGCAGCACTGCAGGTGCTTGTAGTTAGTAAGAAGTTGAGGGAGTACTAGGAAATGAAGTGCTTCATGGCAGTGCCAAGTAGCCAGCTCCAAAGAAGTACTACTTAGGTGCAAGGCTGTTCACCATATTAAATAAAAAACTGAATTTTTAGATAGTGCTGCTAGATTACATAGTTGCTATGTAAGCCTAGTGAGCAAAAAATGCTGTAACGAATCTATGGCCCAGAACAGGTTGGGTTTTCAAAGCAAGAGTTAATAACAACAGGTCCAGAGAAGGTATGGAACAGATTTTTAGCTAATATTTGCTTTCCATGAAACAGAAATAACATGCATTACTCTTACAGGATAACTGTGAAGATGAAAAATATTTCTCACACCTAATCCTTCTTCCCAGTTAAGATGTTCCTTTAGGAAAAGATTAAAAGCCTGCTGAATATACCAGTTTGATGTAGACTCAGCAACATTTTCCTTCATAACATAAAACATAAGCCCATACAGTTTATGGTCTTCCTTCAGGTTTCTCTTTGTAAGTTCTCCCTGTACTAGAAATCAGAGGCTTTTCAATCTTTAATTGTGGGGGACCTCTAGTGGTGTCTGTGCGAATGGGACATTTTCCCTCTCAAGGCTGTAGGACAAGCTAAACGATGGGTCTGAACAGAGTAGGAAAATACAACCAACCAACCAACCACCCATCAGGTTCTGATTATGGCAATCACGTCTTCATACAGCAAAAGCAGAAACAAACTATCCAACAGTGCTTCTGTGTAGTTGAGACTTTGAGATTAAGAATACAAACTATTTAAATCTGAAGAAACTTCTTCACGGGCTCTTCAAGCCTTCGCAACAAGCTAAACTATGTCCTTTACCTGATAAGTTTCTCAGGTTTCATCCTGCTGACCAATAACCATTCTTCTTTCCTAAACCATCTCTCAAAGTCTGAGTCTATAGCTTTTAAGATGTACTGATCTTCAGTCTCAGCTTAGAGTGAGTGAGTGTGTGAGTGAGTGTGTCTAGAAACTAGTCTTAATGAAAACATTAACTTTCAATAGTCTTGCAACACACACTTCAATACAATGCAATATGAAGCAGTCAGAAGTATACTTTTAGAGTCTGGTTTTCCAACAGTGGAAATTTCTCATAGAGCAAGTATAGTTATTTTTCTTCACATGTAAGGAAAACACACAGACTGCTAGGCCTCTATGATTTCTTCACTGGACGCCATTTATCCTTTCTTTCTGACCTACCTTGAAATCACTGTTCTAAAAAGCCTTCATCACTGAGGCTGCTCTTCATGCAGAAATGTTTTTCCCTTTTCCCCCCTTCCTCCTCTCCATTTCAAACACGAACCTCAGTCCTGTGAGACAGTCTAAAACTGTCAAAGCACTGACATGAAGATTTAGCAGTAATAGCATTATTTTTTTAGAATCCACATTATCTATATTCAGTGGATCCAAGAACGCTTCCTAACACACTTGCTAGAAGCAATTGAGTCTCACAGAGTGATTAGGAAAGGTATTTGAACCCAAAAGAGGGTCCATGAATGAATGAATCTACTTCAAATGAGACAAGATTTTTAACCCCTCTTCCCCTCAACCCTTCTTTCTACAGTGGCTTGTTCAGCACTCGGTTTGGCTTCTGGTTTTACTTTAAATGCAAAACAGTTGAGTCAATTAAAATGATAACATCCTTTCATATGACTTCTCAGCAGGGTTTCCGAAAGAGGCTATAAGCCCTTAATGGAGGAACCCACAGAACAGCTTTGAAGTGAGCTCTCTTGTGGGCTGAGAAACTGAGGCATGTATAGATGAAGATCGTGCTGATAGGACATGACAGGGTAAGGAATAAGACACAATATCTCTAATACCAAGGACCCTTTCCTAATCCTTGGACACATTCTTTTCCTTGCAAGGGGTATTTCAAAATGAACCGTTAAATCCCACTGTCATTATCATCTTTCTCTGGCCAGATGATATCACATGTTGCTTTCATTACTGCTTTGTGCTATCCTCTGGCTCTCCTGCACCGCTACAGCTCTCTTGGCTTGGCCCAGAATCTCTTCAAAAGCACAGTA